GAGCGTCGAAAGCAGCAGGCGATACTTAACATTTTTTTGATGGATATTACACGCGATACAGTATTTCGTAATGGATTAGAGTAGTTGATAATTTTTTGTTTGTTAGCGCGATAATAATAATTTTGTCAAGTCAAGTCCAGACTTTTCTTTTTATCAAAATTAGACCTATATTTTCGATGATTTGTTGTTAAAATGAACTTAATGGGAGACATTACACGTTTGTACATTTTTTTCTAAAGTTTGTTTGTAAAACAAAAACTTTGGAGTTGCATAAGATTTAATTTTATAAATATATCCAACTTTACTAATATTTGTGAGAACTTAAACGTAATCTATATATTACCTGGAATAGCGTTGATACCGCAATCGATTACAACTGCTTCAGGTTTGATCTACGATCCTTTAACCATCTCTGGTTGTCCAATACTCACTACCAAAATATTGGCTTTAGATACCTATGAATGGAAACAACAAATATTTCCACATTAGATAAAAACATTATTATATAATAGCTTATAAGAAATATTAAAAAACTCACAACAGCAGGAAAATCCATGGTTCTGGAATTGCACACCGTGACAGTAGCATTGTGCCATTTCAACAATTCGATAACAGGCGTACCTACAATTTTACTTCATCGTATGAAATTTACAATGGTAAATGGATCAGACGAGAAGCTTCAGTTAACTGGCCTGCAAGTTCACCTGACCTCATATTCCCAGACTTTTTTTATAAGGCTATTTAAAAAATATTATTTTTGAACAACAGCCTATAAATAGAGAAGATATGCAAGATTGCATCCGTCAAGTATGCGCTGCAATACCAAAAGAATCTTTACTTAGCACCGTTCGTCATTTCCAGAGGTAGTTAATTTTATGCCTTCAAGAAAAATGGAAGTAACGCCGAACAATTGATTTAAAGTTAAATGAATAATATTTAGAATATGCATTATAAATGGCTTCAAAAATAGCAAACTTAAGTTGTATTTGATCATGTCACGTCTTTGGTAAAAGAAAATAACCATTACAATATCTTACAATTCTTGTTATTAACTTAACCTATATTTGACTTTGCCATGATTGGTAAAAATAAAATAAATGTAAAATGAAAGTTAAATTTTTTTTTTAGTTATTGGGTAAATATCTTTTTTAATGTAATATTTTTACTTTTTTTACATTACTTGAGATGTAAAATTTCCCGCTTACTCCGAATTCGGAATCGATAAGAAGGATTCCCATTAAAAAAAAAACGAATTAGATGACTGGAAATGACCTAGAATATGACCTTAAAGTTCAAAGACAAGGTCATAGGGATATATTCTTCCCTTCAAAGTTGAACAACATTGGTTTAAAATACTTTTCGCTTAACCTTATCCTTTCTAACACATTCAGGTGGGAAGAATAAAAAAATAAAACAGATCTCTACATGGTCTTAGAGGTCATGTGGACCTTAACTATGTTACCTTTTTTGAACAACGAATTTCCCGCTTTTTCCAAATGGAAGATTGAAAATAGAATTTCCTATTTAAAAAAAAAGTTTACGTTAAAATCACCTTGAACATAACCTCCAAGGTTAAAGGCAAGCTCATAAGGATATATCCCTCTCGAAGTTGAGCAACGCTCATTTGAACCCTTTTTCGCTAACTCTCATGGTTTCTGAGAATAACTTACTTGGTTCATTAAAATGGTCCATCCCGTATATGTATAGAATTATTTCAAAATAAACATTTACTTTTGAGTATCTTGTTTATGCGCATTTATTTCAGAATGTTTTTCATTAAGATTTGGCTGACATACGAGAGGTAAAATATTACACTTATCAACTATAATTTCAACCAAATGTACTCGTAGAATTAGCTTCCGACAAAGTAAGTATTCAAATTCGACAAACTGAATGCATATTTTCACATATTTACCTTCACTGAACACGAATCTCGTGTTAGAAATGCCCGATAACCCACTATTTTTTTTTTAAATTGATAAATCCCTTTATAATAGGAAATATCAACATAAGAAAAATCCAAAGATATATTAAATAATTTTAACTACCAAAATAACTTTACTTTATTAAAAATTCATATTAATTAAATATACGGATATATAAACATTCTTTTTTACATGACCATTTGTTTACGAACATCATTCTCTATTAGAATTCGTGACCGCGATGAAGGTTTCAGTGTATCGGTACTTTAAAATGATCTTGAACCTGAGGTAATAAAGTCAAACAGAGGTAAGATTTGGTTTTAGCGGATCAAAACAGATGGCCATCTGCTAGTTACTATTATTTATTTGAAAGTTTGGTGTAACCTTTAAATGAATTTGAAACTGAAATGATCGGTCAAAATAACAATAGACTTAGTTTCATTCCGTCAAAATGTATAAAAAAACTCTTTTTTGTTTTGTCTGTATAATAACTACAAGATTTGACCTTCAGATGATGTTGCGGGTTCATGGAAATTTTGCATTTAAAAAATAAAAAATATATTTATCGGAACGTAAAATTGACCGTTTCTTTCTGAATTTAAAGTCAAAAATGTAATTCTTTGTAAATTCGAAATTTGACCTTCAATGCCTTTGAACCTGACGTGGTGGAAATAAACAAAGGTTAGATTAAAATACAGCGTACCAAAATACATGAGATTTTCTAAGTTGATTTTTGTTATGTTTAAGTCGCATTTTGTGGTCTTGTTTAATACTATACTTTGGAAGATCAGCAACGAATATCTTTACAGCTCAGGTCAGACGTTGTTAAATGATTTAAATAACACTCTATCACTTTATAATAGATTGAAAATGATTCATTGAAAATTAATCAAGTATTTCTTTTTTAAAAATAAAAGTAAGAATTGAATTAGTAAGTACAAAGTAATAGTAGAAGTATATAAGCCTAAATTACGAATTGCTGTGTGCATGGAGATCAAGACTGTCTTATAAAGCATATCTGGACTCTATATGATGTCTGTATTACAGCAAATCATCTTCATTTTTCAAAAATATTATTATGTTGAAAGTAGAGTGTGTTTGCTACATTGCGTTTCTTTTATGGCATAGATTCATAAAAATCCTTGATTCTCTTAACCCTTTTCCTCTCAAATAACACAAATTTTTTCTTAACTTTCATCCTCATATCTTTTAATGAAAAAATCGTATGAAAAATTTATCAAGCATCACATATTGTAGATTTTGACCTCCTCTATCGAATACCATTGACAAAATTTACCTAAATTGTAAGCCGGAACCGTTATAGACCGGTTTTCCGGAAAATTCACAAATTTTTCGCGTTTTTTTTTCTAAAAAAAGTATATTTTGAAATGGAAAAAGTTTGCACACACAATTGAAAACACTGTTATCGGTGTTATAGATGTCTTTTCTTTCAAATGCCGTTGGATTTTTTCCGAAATTCAAAATGGCGAACACAAAATGGCGTTCGAAAGGAAAAATTTTTTTTTTAAACTTGACGAACTTTTTTCTCCAAAACTATCAAGTTTAGTGGAAAATTTCTAAGAACAAAAATGTCTTAAAATTAGTCAAGAAATACTCTCAAATTTTTTCAGATTTTTTTACAGCGAATTTGGAAATTTCGATTTTCCGATTTTCCACGAATTCGAAAATTAACTCTCTCGCCTAAAGTCCTATCGCGTCGCGATCAGGAAAATCGACTTTTAGCGAGGGTAGTAAAAAAAAATAATTGTTAGACTTGAAATTTTTTTAAATTTTGTGAAACTTTTTTACTCAATTACTTGAGATTAATTTTTTTACTCAAAAACTATTGACTCAATAAAAAAATTCATTATAACAAAAGAGTCTTACAATTTACCAAGAAGTACTCTCAATTTTTTTCAGAATTTTCCGAGTTAATTTTCGAATTCGTGGAAAATTGGAAAATCGAAATTTCCAAATTCGCTGTAAAAAAATCTGAAAAAATTTGAGAGTATTTCTTGACTAATTTTAAGACATTTTTGTTCTTAGAAATTTTTCACTAAACTTGATAGTTTTGGAGAAAAAAATTCGTCAAGTTTAAAAAAAAAATTTTTCCTTTCGAACGCCATTTTGTGTTCGCCATTTTGAATTTCGGAAAAAATCCAACGGCATTTGAAAGAAAAGACATCTATAACACCGATAACAGTGTTTTCAATGGTGTGTGCAAACTTTTTCCATTTCAAAATATACTTTTTTTAGAAAAGAAAACGCGAAAAATTTGTGAATATTCCGGAAAACCGGCCTATAACGTTTCCGGCTTACAATTTAGGTAAATTTTGTCAACGGCATTCGAAAGAGGAGGTCAAAATCTACAAGATGTGATGCTTGATAAATTTTTCATACGATTTTTTTATTAAAAGATATGAGGATGAAAGTTAAGAAAAAATTTGTGTTATTTGGGAGGAAAAGGGTTAAATGCACGCATAAATTTAGTCTCTTTAAGAATTTGAATTTCAGAATATGTGTAATGTTCAAAATTGAAAACTTTAAAAAAATACTTTGCAAGATGTAACATATGCTTCTTATAACTATAGGGAATCATTTCTTAAAAAAACAGCAATATCAATGATAAGATTACTTTCAATCCCGATCGTTTTTATAATACTTGTCTTAACTAATGCGAAGACAGTATACATATAGTATACATTCTTGCCGAGTAATAACTAGAGGCTATTCGTAACCCGAGATCTCTCTGTCTGTCGATCTATTTGACAATCTCTCTCTCTCTCTCTCTCTCTCTCTCTCTCTCTCTCTCTCTCTCTCTCTCTCTCTCTCTCTTCACATTATATTCAAATACGAAGAATAAATAACCTTATAATTAATTTCCTTTACGAATATTTTTGACCAATATTACCTAGTCCCAGGCCGGAATCAAGAATCCACGATACTTATGATCTAGCTGAATCCATGGAAGTCGTCACATGTCACATCCTTATCTTATTTTTTTTCCTAGTAAATAGTTTTTATTAAAAAATTAACCCTTATACTCATACAAATAAATCTTTATTAATTTTTCAGATACAATAGCTATTTTGGTCATGACACGAAGTGGGTTGAACTCTTCCCGATGGCTGGATGCAATATGGGAACCTAATACTCAACTATATGTTCTTCCTAATGGATTAAATATGCTTGACACAGCCGGAGATGGCGATGCTAAACTTATAGTCGCTGATATTGGAGATACTACATTACCTCAAACCAAAGTATCTTTTGACATTTAAATTATGACTATTTCAAACAACACAGTCACTCAAAAAAAGTGGTCTGTATCAAAATTGGCATACATATATTGTCATACATTTTTAATATACTGAATCCGAATCCCAAGTCAGTCTGACTTAGCACTTCAAGTTCAAGGGTTTTTGAAGATCAAATTCAGAAAAAATTCGTTTAAAAAAATGTAACTAGTATTTCTATGATTTTGAGGTTTGATGAATCTTAATCTGGAATCTGTTTGATATCATCATGTTATAATCAAGGTGATTCCAAGGTCAAGTTTATATATTATGCAAAAAGTTACATTTTTACTGCAGATTCTGAAAGTACGAAAAAATTTTCGTTATGATACAATATTTTTGATTTTTTTATCACGATCTTGAGTCACTGCAAGGTATTATATGTTACGAGGGTCGCTGAATCTGGGGTTCGCTTGATCTCATTAACTAGGGAACCACCCCAACCCTCCAGCACCGATTTTTCTGCAATTGAGATATGTTATAGTTCGTAAAAAAATAAAAGACCTGTATTTTTTTTATCGGCGGAAAAAGCTATCTAAGGGATGAAACACACCCCCAAAAAACAGCCCCAAAAGCAGTTCTATAGCAATATCTTTAGTTGTAATGAATATTTTTTTATGAAACAAAAAAACACAAGATACTTATAAAAAAAGTAACTGACACACATCAATTTGGTCTCCGGGGGTTGCAACCCCTACGTTGTATAGAGGAAAAACTGTATATTTAAGTGTATTTTTACCTTACAATATCAAGAAATTATGTTAAAAAAATTTAAAAAATGATATTCTAGTAGAAAATGATAAAACAAAATTGATGTATTTCGGGGTTTTCTTATTATCTATTATTTCGTGAACTTGAATTTGAATTTGAATTTGAACTTGAACGTGAATTTCGGTGGTGTTTAATAATCCTTCCTTTTTTTCGTCGACATCTTCTAAAGGCTCTTTAAACAGCTGTACAAATAAACCAATTTAAAAATTGCTTTATTTTTTGTTTAATTTAGGAATAATTTCAATACCACAAGCTACTTACAGTCATAATCGTACTGAGAATCCCAACGTAATTTGACTCAGTCTGGACAAGTTCAAGGAAGACTTGATGTCGCGGAGAAAGAGTTTTTCTCACTGTTTCAGTGTCCACAACTTCTACCTCTGGAATATCTGTGATTTAACAATTATTCATACTTTGAGGTCTTCCCTCGAATGGTCTAAGGTTACTTAAAGAAAATGTACAGGCATTGAAACTTTAATTCTCTGAGACAAGTTTTTCATAATCGAAATAATTTCAAGTTGAAATACAATCTATGACACTTTTAAGAATCAAATGTTAAATTATTTCATTATCATTGTGCACACAAAGCAATTAGTTTAATAAACCATAGAAGGAAGACGAAAAACTATTATAGAGTTTAAAGAATAAACAAGTTAATATAGAGTAACAAAGTAACAAAGAAAAGAGTTTGGTTGGATAACGACATTGAGATAAAAAAGAGAGCGAGGATAACGCCGTAAGCGAAAAAACTTAGTTGAAAAAATTATCTTACCATCTAACAGCTGATTTTCTGGACTGATAGTACTATCGAGAAGGCTGCTGTTTATACTAAGGAATCCTTCGCTAAGACTCGATCTTCTTTTGTTGCGCGATGCCGGTGAACTAGTCCCATTCTGTGCAGCTTCAATTACCTCTGGTAAACGTTTACGCTTGCGTTGCTTCGACGCGGATGACGGTGTATTCACAGGTTGACTATTCCTACGTGCCGAGACCGACGGTGACATCAAACGCTCCAAATACTGAAAAAATTTGCAATCCTCTTACTTCTGTTTATTAAAACTTCAAAATTAAATATTCAGTTATTTTTTGCCTCGTATTTACTTTATCGAACAGGTACTCGTCCTCATCAACAGCAATTTCATTTTGGATGGAGGTCCAGAACCATTCAGCTTTGACAATGCGTGCTCTTTGTGAGGCAATGTCTGGTAAACTATTTACGTTTGACTCGTCGACAACCTTTGATAATATTATCATATTAATTAATCAAATAAGCTTTCTACTTTACATTACGACAATTAAGAGACAGTACGAGCTCAAAGAATGTATTTCGTGAATTAGGTGAACTACCCCTTAATGTTATTAATACAATATAAGCAGTTGTTAATCGCAGATTATGCTGTTTATTTTATGTTTTATAACGCTTAAAAAAGCCAAACACATGTATACTTTTGTTCTGCCGAATAAACTATTTAGAGGGTGAAAGCTACCTCCAAAAGTTACCCCTCAACACCATTTTATAGCGAAATTTTCGTATTTTATGCACAGTTTTCGACGAAACAAACTCTAAAAAATTCTTTTAAAATATTTCAGCTAAATATATGGATTTCATCCACAGCGGTTGCAATCACCTAAGTCGCCTGAAAGAAAAGCTATGTTTTCAAATATTTTCTTGCAAAATTTTTTCAGAAGAAATGAAGTTTATGAAATTCCGTTTAAAATCTAACACAAAAGTATACAGTATCCGTCACCAGCGGCTGCTACCCCTTCATTGGAGAGTGAACAGAGCATTCATTCGTTACCCTGATCCCCTACCACCCCGAACCCAATTTCCTTAAACCTCGAGCTAGTTACCCTGCCACGCTATAACCCGTAACTCCTACACCCCAATTTCATCAATCCTCGAGCTGGTTACCCTACCACGCTGTGACCCCAAACTCTTAACCCCAATTTCATCAACCCTCGAGCTGGTTACCCTGCCACGCTCTAACCTCGAACTCCTACACCCGAATTTCATCAACCCTTGAGCTGGTTACCCTGCCCTTTCCAATTTTCTAGTCTGAAACCTGGTTCTCTGTTATTCATAATCCCAATTTCGACATATTTGTAATATCTCTGAAGAAAAGGACCTGGGCGAAATAATTGTAGAAGATAAAGTTAAATTTTTTTTATTTTAATGTTATATTTACGTTATATTAATTCGTCATTTCATTTGATATTGAGATTACATTTTTTGAATATAAAAAGACGATCCGCGCTCATTATCACTGTACATATTGTGAACAATAATGATAGTCTATAAATAAATGCTGTAGACATATTAGTTTCTTGCACCATGCACATTTTATAATTACTATTTTCTCACAAATCTCGTAGATAGGCTGTTCTGAAATTTCGAAGCAATATTCAACAGGATTGTCGAACGAATCAGGTTTTTTATGCCACTTTTGTACCAATCATATATAAATACGCTTTTGAATCTAGGTGAAGATAATTGATTATGTGAGATATACTGTAATTTTATAATATTATTCCTCTCATGTAAACTAATGTCTGATCCGAATAAAATAATGGCATCAGATATTTCTCTTACAAAGTTTTTCCAAAATCGAAAACCGAATACATCCAGTGGTTGAATTTTGCCTGTCGTACCCTTAGGAATTGTCATCAATCGAAAATTTGTATCTGCTGGTGTCATTTCTCTTACAGTTCGTTCACACTATCCACTCCATGAGTCTAGTAATAAAACTGCTGTTTTCCCATAGTTAGGAAAAAATACATGTTGCAACCATGTTTGAAGTAATTTACTCGACAGCTTTCCTGATGCACTTGCTCGCAAAAATATATTACGTGCATTAAATAGTTTTTTTGAAACAATGGGTCCAAACTCTCCGTCTGTTTCTTTTAATACCATAACAAGGGGTGATAGCATTGTACCTTCTGCAGATATTGTCGGTTGAATCGTATAACTATACGTAGTCGATGAGACTGATTGTACTACTGATTCAACTGTCTTCTTACTTTTTCGGTCAATGTTCTGCCAGTATGCATTTCTAAATTGAATCCACTTTGATCGGAATTATATATGTTACTTGCACTTTTGGTTGATAATTCTGTTTTTATGAGGTTGATAAAATTTTGAAAATCTAACTTTAAACTAGCCACATTTTCAACAGATACTTTAGTCAAATATTTAGTTATTTAACGCGATACAATTTTATGCTTTTTTTTTTAATAAAAATATCCAATTGGGTGAAGCTTTAAACCAAGGCATATCTAACTCATACTTTTTATGTAAAGCCCATCTTTTAGGATCTAAATCATGCACTCTTAACTTCCGATCTAAAGCATCTTTGAGTTGTTGTAAAGTATATTCTGAAACTTTAAACAGATTCTCTCTTTTGGTTCTGCCTGTCAAAATTTGCTGTTTCCATGTTCTTTCAAACATGTATGAAACTTGTTTATATTTACTCTGGACGAAACTTAAAGACAGTTTCTTTTTCTTACCACTTTCCCAGTATTCAATAGCTTTTCTTTTATATCCATCGTCGAGTACCGTATTTGTTACCGTACAAATAGGTACCTCGACATAGTCTACACCATGTATTTCTTCAAATTGATCGTCAATTACTTCTGGATGAATATCAAAATCATCATCCAGGAAACATAAGTTCTCACTTGTCTCACATTCAATACCTGAATTCGTTTCAATGCTTTTTCTCAATATATCTTCAATATAATCGTGTAGCTGCTTCTCTGCATCGTTTAATATAGGTATGCTTTCTACAACCGCACTTATGTGGAATGTTTTCAGTAATTTTTGTATTACGTTGTGAATTTCAATTGCCATTCTAACACAATTTTGATATTCAAGAACGTAGATGTAAAGCAAAGTTCTATTACTAATTTACTGAAGTATGCCGATCGAATATGCTTACATATACTGTAAGTGAACAAAACGTGTTTTGAAGTTGTTACCACACAAACCGATATCAAATCAAGGTGCCCGAGGTTCCTCTACTGTTAGATCTTGGCTTATCACATACGTCAACGATTGCGATTTCTATCAAGGAAAAAACAGTTGTAGTTCCAATCTTGCTATTTGAACCACATGAACCGCATTCGTTGATTGTGGTTTCTATCAAGGAAAAAAACAGTTGCAGTTCCAATCTTGCTATTTGAACCACATGAACCGCATT